TTAAAAATCCTGGGGTAAAGGTCAAGCACCACTGAGCTACAGGCAGCTGGGACCCATGCTGAATTGATGCCCAGTCGGGTAAGGGGAGCTGCTTGCCCAGCGTGGCCCTGCAGAGGACCTTTGTAGGAACAATGGCTGGTATATCTGGGTCCCCTGATGTCCCACTGCACCTTGCAGCCCCTGCCCCACCCCCAGTTAAGCATCTGATGGTGCATCATTTATCCTTCTAGGTGTTCTGTCTGCTCTCACCAAACAGATGGTCCACTCCTCGAGGAAAATTTCTGTTTCCAGAGATGAGATGGCTTAAGCTGAAGCAGGCCAGATGGCTCTGTTCCTAGTTACAGAAACTCTGGGAGAGCAGGGGTGGGAAGGGATTGGCCTGAGAAGACAGATATGCCTCAGTTTATCCAAGGACCTTCACAAAGTTTTCAGATTTGAGTCTTGCATCAGACTCCCTGGAGGGCTTGTTAAACCCAGGCTCCTGCCCCACCCAGAGGTTCAGATCCGGTGGGCCCGGCATGGAGCCAGGACGGCACCAGAAGGCTGATGGAGACACTGCTGCTGGTCCCTGGATCATGCCTGGAGGAACCCCACTTTGGAGGCCCCTTGGAGGGAGCGGGAGGTACTCACCCTCCTGTGCCTGGAGAGGGATCTGGGAGGCAGCAGATTTGGTGCTGCCCTTGCTCTTCTTGCTTCCCTGGCTGGCGAGAGATGGGTGAGCTTGCAACTTCCGGTGGGCCTTGGGGCCACCCAGGGCACCATTCCCCGCCCGCCTGGCGCCGCCCAGCTCCGAGGGGTGGCCAGAGCCATTCGCCAGTAGTGGGGTGCAGCCCAAGGGGTTCCCCTGAGGCTGGCCTGGAGAGATGACAAGAAAGGGGTTGGGGGCAAGGTGGGGGGCTGCCCAGCCTCCCGGAGCACTGATCTATTCCTGCCTGCTCTGTTCTCACATACACCACAGTTCAGCAGCCTCATCTATATCTTGCAAATGTGGAAACTGAGGCCCGGAGAGCAGAACAGACTTGCCCAGAGGCACACCATGAAATAGCAGCAGGGTTGAGCCAGGCTCCTGACTCGCAAGCCAGTGCTCATTCCAGAAAAGACAGAGGTGCAAGAGGGGCTCGGAGCCCTGGACCCCACCTTCTTACCCCACATAAACTCCATTCTCCTGCTCTTGGGGTCCTGGGATTTTGGCAAGAGTGGTGGTGGTTGGGGGGAGGGACAGGGACAGTTTGGCTGGGTGGGGAGGACAGCAGTGAAGCAGTTAACCTTCACCTCAGCCTCTGCCAAGCCCCCAGCTGTTTTTGCCCTTCGTGTGCTGGGTGAGTTATTAGAAACAGCTGTTTGGAGATGAATGCCTGGTCTGGAATCCGGGGGCTCCTCACAGCAGCCCCTCTGTCTCCTGCTCCTCCACGCCCCTGCCCCCGCAGCCTCTGTGGGGAGGCTGGCAGGAGTTTGCTGAGGGGCCCTTGGGGTCTGGGTGAGGAGGGAGAGAAGAGGGAATAAGGAAGCCAGCGGGGAGACTCCTGAGGCCAGGAACCACCCCAAATCCCCATCCCAGGCTGAGGGGCTAGACTTCAGCTTTATCGGTGAGGTGCAGGGAAGCTGGCCCTGGAGATCCCCCCAAACACCAGTCTTTCCCTCACCTCACTCAGGTCTGCTCACTTGAGAGGCACAGTTATGTTCACAGGACATGAGGGCAGATGTGTGTGCACAGGGGAGGGAACTGAGAAGGGGACACAGGCACTGGGACCTCTCAGCTGCTCAGGGCAGGACCCCTGGGTCCTGAGGACCTCTGTAAACATGAGGCACTTCCATCTCTCGGGTACTGGGGTCTGGCTCCCCAACTCCCTCCAGGCCTGGCCTCTGTACTTGACCAGTGGTAGGAGGGGATGGGGGAGGGGTGCAGGGAGACTGAGAAGAAGGGACAGCAGCCTCAGCACCAAGTCCGAGGGGCTGGGGCTCCTGGGAATGGGAGTAGTCGTACCACTGAGCGTTTACTGCTTGCCAGCGGCTAGTTTAAACCCTTGACCTGCTCACTATTCTCTCACTGGGTCCTCTTGGTATCGCTACGGCACTGTACCTTCCTTTACAGGCTACGAAACTGAGTCCCAAAGAGGCATAGTAACTTGTCCAGGGTCCATAGCTAGTGTCAGAGGTGGACCAGCCTGGAGGCCAAAAGCTGAGGCTCAGAGGCCAGAGAAGCAAGGAGGGGGCACAGGCTGGAAGACAAGGGACTAGGGAACAACCTGTTACTGTCACATCACTATGCTCATAACTAGTAGTTTACATGCTTTGAGCTGTTACTGGTGCCAGACACAGTGCTAAGCGCTCCATGTGTAGTAATGTCTTCGAGTATCAGGAGAGATCTATTATTAGCCCCATTTCACAGATGATAAAACTGAGGCCTTGGAGAATAAATATTGCCAAGATTCCACAGCTAGGAAAGGGAGGGGATGGAAACTGGGAGAAAGGAGCAAAGGGTAAGGTGGGGAGTCAGGGGGGAGATGGAAGACAGGGCTCGGGAGAGGCTCCACGCTGGAAGACTGTCGCCCTGAGGCAAGGCTGGTGCCTGCATCTGGGTAAACAGGGGTAAGGCCATGGGAAGTGGCCAGGCCTGAATCATCATGCCTCCACCTCTAGGCCCCATGGGGGTGACTGAGCCAAATCTTTGGCCAGCCTCGGCGCTCTCTGCCCTGCTGCCTAAACATGGCACAGTAACCAGAGGGCGGGCATGTGTGGTGAGCTGAGGGCCCTGGGGGGTATGGGCAGACACAGAGCTTGCCTGTGGCCATAGCCGTGGAGTGACCATGGGGACTGAGTCACAGAGCAAACACTCAGGGCCCATAGACACAGGAGTGACTGTCCAACTCCCTCCCAGGCCCCCTCCTATATGGCCACTGCACTGACCTCTTTCTCTCAGTTCCGCTGGTGAGCATGTTTGGAGGAGGCTGAGAGCAGCGCTCTAGCAGGATTTAGTAACCCTGTCTTCCAGGGAGTCCAACTTTGCCCCAGATGCCCTGCCTGAAGGCGGCTCCCGCTCAGCGTGCCACTTGGGCAGGCAGAGGAAAGTGCACTGGGTCAGGAGGCCCAAGTCCCCCAGCTTGTATCCAGGGTGAGTGGTTCTCTGTGCCTCAGTTTCCTCATCTGTAAAATGGGCTTGGCAGTAGCTGAGCTGCCTCACTGCGGGCTGACTGGAGAGCATGTGGGATCAGTCAGGGAAAGAAAGTTGGAAAGTGCAACTGTGGCTACAGATTTGGGGATCTTATTAGTAGTTACAAAACAATTCTGGTTGGCCCTTCCCCTGCTTTTGAGGGTGAAGGTGGAGAATTCTCTCCCTCCCAGGGACTCCTTGGAGATGTGGAGCCATGCCTGGGAATGGAGCTGAATTTTGCTCTTTTCTGCCCAGATCAACTGGAGGCTTCTCTCCTTCCTTTTGCCCTGGATACCCTGAAGGATGGTGCTGTGTTGGGCTCTGGCTCCCTGTCCCTGGTCCCCTGCTCTCTTCCCAAGAGGAGGGTGGCTCTTCCCATATAGCCTCACAGTCTCTTGTCCTGACCCATATGGCCTGGAGCCTGTGCACACTCATTTTGAATTAATTTTATACTCATCATTTTGTACATGGAGATCTTCTTCCGAGACAGAAAGGACACTGACAGTGTCCGACACCTCTCCGCTGCCCACCCCTTAAGGTCCTGGCCCTGTGCTAGGTTCCCGAGAGCACACACTGCATTTCTGCAGCCCGTCTAGACTGGATTCCCCAGTGCAACCCCTACATGTTGCCACCCCAATCCCCTGGCCCCCTAGGACTCACGTGTCACAGCTTCTGTGGGGACATCGAGGTCAGTGCTGTCCAGGGCCTGGGGGGCCCCAGGGCCATTGCCTTGGGGCATGGGGGGTGCTTCCTCCTCCAGGGAGCCCTCTTCTAGCACTGCCTCCACAGGGTGAGTGGATCCTGTTCCTGCCTCCAGCCCAGGCAGAAGGGGGGTCTGGGCTAGGAAAAAAGCAGACAGGCAAGGTGTGCCCCTGGTGCCCTCCTGCTTGCCCAGCCCTGGTCCCCTTCCTGCAAGCCAGGTTGCCCTGAGCCCTAGGTTCTTGGTCTCTTTGTACAATTACCCAGCCCTAACCCTACCTGGCAACAGTGCCAGACTCCAAAATAGACTCCAAACCACAGCACGTGAGTAAGCAAGGGTGTGTGTGTGCACGCGTGTGTCTGTGCACGTGTGTGCATGCATGTGCGTGTGGTGTCAAGAGAGGAAGGGATGCAGGAGGGAACAGACAGGTGGTCAGTGATGGAGAGATAGGGACAGGCACCAAGAGTGACAGGGAGAGAGAAAGAATCAAAGGGACAGTGACAGGTAGAAGCAGTGAGAGAGAGAGAGCACCAGAAGGCGGGGGATCGGGCACAGAAGGGGAGAGGCCCAGAACCCGGTGACAGGCAGCCTGGGATGGGAAGGAGACTCAGCAGCAAAATGGGAATCAGCGATGGAGAGAGATAGAGACGGGGCAGAGGCGAAGGGGAAGGGAGCTCGATGCAGGCAGAGTGAGAGGGAGACAGTGAGAAATTGGGTGAGAGAGAGGGTGACAGCGAGAGAGTGAGGGAAAACCTGGGTGAGGGTAAAGCTGAGGCCTGGGCGGAGGGCCACAGGCAGGAGGAGAGACAGGCAGATGAGCGTGCTGGGAAGAGGTGGACCGCAGCCACACGTAATTACAGTGACCGGCTCGGCCCTCCGCACGGTGGGCGGAAGGAAGGAAGGGAGCCACCTCCAAACCCACAGCTCCCCGCTCCCCAAGGCAGGATTCGGCCCCCTGGGCCCAGGGGGAAAGGGTTAGGGGGATGGGCGGTGGAGGAGGGAAGCAGGAGAGGGCCCCAGTTCCCACACTGGCAGTCACAGGGTGTGGGAAGGCCTGAGCGGAGGTAGGGAGCAGGAGGGTGAAGGCAGGGGTCACGGGCCCAAGGGCCAGACTGGCCAATTACAGGGTGCAGGGCGCTGTCCGGGCCTCTCATCGGGCCTCAGGCTGTGCAGCTGGAATGACGGGGCCTCCAGAGGGTGCTCCACATGCCATATTGGGAGCAGGAGGACATAGAAACAAGAGATTCAGAGGGACACAGAGACCAAAAGAGCATGGGGAGGGGAGGGGAGAGGGACTTGGAGAGAGGAAAGGGACTTGGGGAGAGAGACAAAGATGGAGGGCAAAGGAGGTGAAACCCAGAGAGTAAACTATCCACAGCCATTCGAACACAGGACACAGAGACCGAGAGAGGCACCTGAGGGACAGAGAGATAGGCAAAGTCTAGTCTTGGAAAGAAATCAGAGATGAAGAACAGAGGGGCTCACATATGGGGTACTGCTCTTTCTCCAAATTGGGGGGAAAGAGAGGAGGGAGATAATTAAAGTTGGGCATGCGGGCCTGGGGGACAGGAACATCTTGAGGGGAGAGGACAATCCAGGAGCTCAGCTGCCTCCCTGGGCTCTGAGCATCCCTCTATGGCTTCTGATTCTCAGAGACCCTGAGCAATCCTGTTTCAAAGACCCTGGTCTTTCATGATGAGGGGCACAGAGGCCTCGGGAGCCCCAAGTGGGTAGCATTAGGAGCAGCAGGCCGAGCAGACATGCTCACTCTTGCCCGGGGAGAACCACAGGCTCTGCCTGGAGATGGGAGCCAGGGCCCAGAGGCAAAAGGGGCTTGGGCTCCTGCGACTTCTGGAGGACTCCAGAGTTCCGTGTTGGGGACAGACACTTCATGGTGCTCACTGCTGCTCCATGGACACAGGGTGGGTTCTCTAGCCCTATCCACTCTTTGGGACTGTTGAGAGCCCATCACCACGTAGGTTAAGGAAAGAGAAGTCAAATGGCTTTTGGATGATCACAAACTGGGCTCGGGGGAAGGCGAATGGCGATGACACCAGGGAGGAGCGATGCTGCCTGCTAGATGGTGCCTCTCGAACCCTGAGCCAGTCTGTAGCAGCTCAGACAAAACTTTTAGGGCTAAGACCCCAGGTTGTGTGTGAATGGGAGTGCTCAGGGTTTTGGTCCTAATTCCCTGGAAAGAAGGGGGCCTGCCCAGCTCCAGCTTCTGGCCCTGAACTGGGAGCACCGAATCTCCCGTGTGGCGATATGAAAAGGCCAAAGAGCACTGGTTTTCGCCAGTTACCAGCTTGGGCAAGTTCCCGGGACTTGAGTCACCTTATGTGTAAAGGAGGTTCTTAACACTTATCTCTCAGGGTTTCAGACAGTAATGAAATGCTCAGCAGTGTCCTGGCCTGCAGGGCCACTCAGGAACACTTCCACCCACCCACTCAAT